GTGTGAGGACGGTGCGGTCGTGTGGCTCGGGCAGGCCCCGAGCGCGTGGCAAAGGCGGCGCGTGCTGCTAGGTGTAAAAGGGACTTTTCTGGTTCGGCGTAAGTCAAGTCCAGCTTGGCTTTGCTTGAAGGTGGGATGTTAAGCGTTTGTCCGCGTAAAGAAGTCAGCGTAAAATAGACGTGGCTGTGTTGGACTGTGAAGGTTTCATTAACGTCGTGTTCTTTTGCAGAGTTTTTTTTTTTTTTAACTCAAATGGGTGATGAAAAGGATTCTTGGAAAGTGAAAACTTTAGATGAAATTCTTCAGGAAAAAAAACGAAGGAAGGAGCAAGAAGAGAAGGCAGAGATAAAACGTATGAAAAATGTAAGCTACCCTTTGGTATACAAGCATTTCTAATGAAACCTGAGGCGCTTCAGCGCCTACATCCTCGTTTTCTGAGGAGAACAAGGCGGCTTGCCCTGTCAGCAGAATTCCTCTGTGCTCTTAGGCATGTTTCGTGTGTGATCTCTAATTCCCAAGTTTGACAAGAATACGATACTTCGCTAAGATCTCGTCGGCCTTACGTTGTATGCTGTGCTTTGTTTCATAGTTGTCGGTTAGAAAAAGTAAAGAAATGGGTGTGATTAACTGAAGCTGCAGTTCAAGTAAAAACCTTTCAAAGGTTTTACAGAAGAATGGGTTTAAATAATTGTTCTTGAATAACTTCTATGTTGCTATTTGTTTTTGTACAATTATGTACAAAATAACATTCTATTGGAGGGAATAAAACCCACAATAGTTAATGGAATCCTCCTTAATCGCTGTTTAATTTTGGCTAATTACATTGAATTTACAGAAGTTCGGCTGTAATTGCAATCAAACTGCATTTGGCTGCTTACAACTATGAAATCTCTGCTTCATGAGCCAGTGTACTTTACTGGTGTGACCAGTTGAGGATGGCTTTTGAGCCAGTAATGGAAGAGTTGAGTACTATTTAAATGTTTTCATTTTGTGACATAAAAATTAATTGCATTTTGGTTTTGCCCTTTCATGTGTTGCTGTCACAGTCAGATGATAGGGATTCAAAGCGGGATTCTCTTGAAGAGGGGGAGTTGAGAGATCATCGCATGGAAATAACAATCAGAAATTCACCTTACAGGAGGGAAGACTCTATGGAAGACAGGTAAGAATAAGAGAATAACCTTGTTACCCTAGGAAGAGTTACTGAAATTAAGCTTTAGAAGTACTGAGAAGAGGGTTTAAAAATACCTGAATGGGAAAAGTTCAACTTCTTCAGCGTGCAGATGTGCCATCTGGCCTCCGGGTCGTAGAACATGCCAGGGTATCATTTTGAAGTACTGATTAAGGTTTAACAGATTGTTGTGGTCCAGTTTTGGCCATTGCCTAGTAATAAAATATTTCGCTCAAGATACAGTTAAAGCAGGCCTGCTGAGTTCTCCTCAGTGCTTAATTCATCCTCAGTTTGCTTGTGTATTAAAAGTGCGCATGTAGTAACAGCTTAACTTCTCATCTGCGTGACTATGATTTTCTCTAAGGTATTGTTAATGCCTTGGTTTGGGGGTGTTATGTAAATGAACTTTAATATAAATGAAATAGGAAAAAATCCATTCTTTTCAAAATGGAGAAAAGAGGAAATAACACACAGGCTGTTTGGCAGTACGTGTAACCTTCCTGAGTTTATTAATTTGTCTTGTATTTTAGAGGAGAAGAAGATGATTCCTTGGCTATAAAACCACCGCAGCAAATGTCACGGAAAGAAAAAACCCATCATAGAAAAGATGAGAAGCGGAAAGAGAAACGTAGACATCGTAGTCATTCAGCAGAAGGTTGTTATTACTATATTTGGATAACATTTCCGGTAGCTTCCCAAGGTGAAGCCAAACAGGCACTGTGTAGAAAGTAAATAACAATAACTACAAACTAAGGAAAACATGTCAGGTGGATAAGACAAAGGAATTTAAACTTGTATTATTTCTTTAGTTACATTTAATGCTCTTGTGGGAATGACAGGGCTATATATGTGTTTGGGAGGACCGTAATCACTTTGGGACAGGGACATAGAGTCTACCTTTACTCTTTGAAGTCTGTTAAGCTTCTTTCTGGCTTCACTGAGTGAGTGGGCTGAGCTATGATCTTTGTACCTGGCCGTAAAGGAAAAAATAGCCTTTCTAGAAACATTAGTGTTGTATGCCTGTTACTGACAGCCTTGTTCTGTTTTTAATGCAAGCGTTTGTGCAAGATCTTACCATCTTTTAATTTTCCAACACCCTTTCAGATCAGTATTTTTCGATTAAGAAAATAACAGAGAACATGAAAATAGGTCACCATAAGTTTCATCCTTTCTAGTTTTGCTTTTTAAAAATAGGAGCACTAAATATTTTGAATAGTAACACTCCAAAATTCATTTTTGTTTGTTTAGGGAAACATGCCAGAGTGAAAGAGAAAGAACGGGAACATGAGCGTAGGAAGAGACATAGAGAAGAGCAGGATAAAGCCCGTCGTGAATGGGAAAGACAGAAACGGAGAGAAATGGCAAGGGAGCATTCCAGGAGGGAGAGGTACATCCATCCCTCCCTCCCTCCCTCCCTCCCCTGTGACAAACCAACAAAGAGATGAGCAGCTTCCTCCTCTAAATCTCTCTCTAACCTTTCATTGTTTCATTGACAAAAAAATTCAGAGCAAAAACTTGCGAGGTCTGATGCCAGTGCCGTGTTCTGTGAATGTGTTGTCTAATGAAAATGTGTTCTCGACTTTAATTACCTTTGTAAGTGACTTCATTACAACAGATATTTCTAGGTGAATTCATCGCCAGTGTTTTATTATAATGAGAAAAAAAAAGCACAAACCACTTTTGCGTAGTATTAGGGGATTTATTAACTGAACTTGCTAAATTTCTGTTTAAGTCCTGATAAAGGTGCAGAAGC